AGCTTTGACCCAGTCGCCTGGGCCCACGAAATGCAACAAAATCACTACTTGACCGACGTCTCTCACCGCATCACTCTCGCCAGCTGCTACCAAGCCGCCGTCTACCTTTACACTAGTCGCGTACTCTCTAGATCTAGGGAAGGCTTCTCCCCTCCCTGGACAGACGTCGGAGTTCCAGCCGACCACTCCATCATCGCGGACAAGCTCATTGCCGAGCTATGCTCCATTCCTTCTTCCGACCCTCACTTCAAATGCCTCATCTGGCCCACGTTTATAGCAGGCGCGGAATGCCGCCGTCCCTCGCAGCGTGCGCTCGTTCTCGAGAGACTCGGTGCATTGTACCAAGCCGTTACCAGTGTCAATGTTCGCAATGCAGCCTGGGTACTAAGGTTGATGTGGCAAACCAAAGACCAAAAGCGACGCGAGCGTGATGGGTATCTTGATTCACAAGTCGGCAATGGTGACGATAATGAAGACGGCGACGATACATTCGACTGGATCGATGAACTGGATGAATCTCGGCTTGATTGGCTCTTCATATAATACCTTTCTTCTTTTTACATATGCCATCTAGTGCACATATCGGCGGTTATGTTTTGGCTTCTCACGAATAACGGTCATAATGTTTGTATATAATCTCATCGATATTGATCTTTGATTGCCACCTGGGCACGAAAATAAAACTCAACTCAGCCCAAAGTAACTACATTGTCGTACACTACTAGTACTAGTACTGCCGCCTTCCACGCCCACTGGGTGGATACTAGTACTTGTTCCAAGGTTTAGTGTTTACCTACTGTCACATCCTTGCAAGTTGTGAATCGGAGAGTTATCGCAGAATATGTATACTTCCAAGGTTCACATAGATGTACTTAGTGCCAAATTACACCCAATCCTAATGTCTACCAAAATTAAAACTGAAAGAAAGCCAATGAAGATGCTGGAGCAGCCGATGCCCATCGGGTATATCAATTTTCTTTTTTGTTCTGGCCGAGGGTAAAAGAGAAAGGAGAGGAAGTTTGTATAGGAATTGGAGAGGGAGGGAGACAAGTTAGAGGAGAGAAACATTCACAGTGAAATAGTGCCCGCCTAGGGTCAAGGGCATGAGGAATCAAGGAGTCGAGCTAGCGAAGTAGCGGGGAGAGGGTGGAATAATGATGGAAGGGAAGCTGGACAGGAACATGAGGGAGGGAGAAAAGAAAGAAAAAGAAAGGCAATGAACGGTATAGCGCTTGATCCAAATCCTTTTCTGGAGGGTATGACAGACAGAAGAGAAAAAAGAAAAGAGTCGGAAAAAAAATCACAATTGAAGAATTCGCAGGACAGTGCTTTCTACCGCGAACCGGCAGGTCAGTGATCAACATCTGAAATGAAATGAAAAGGTCCAAAGTCGCCAGAAGCGGAAAGAAACAATGAGCCTCAATGAGGTTCGCGACGATATGCTTCGAATCAAATCAGGGATATATAACAGCTAGGAAAGAGACGGGAGAAAGGGCAAACTTGAATGAACGCAATGAAAGCAGACAAAAAATGGAGAAAAAAATCATGCTCACTTCCGATTCTAAATGCAGAAACATAACCCAACATGACAAAACACGCTCGTCACGATAAAATGCAAAGGGCACGAGGTATGCAGAGAAGGCGCCCGTCTTCTGTGTGTAGACGCGAGTTACAAGAATAAGTTATAGGAGAGGTGCTCGACACAGAACGCAAATTCTGGTGTTGAAATTAGGCGATGCCGAGATTGGCGTAGCCGGGGATTAGAAAACGGCGGCGAGGCCGTTCTTTGAATGACGCCTGCTGAAACGCTTTTTCCCTTTTGTCGACTCGGAATCGGTGGCCTGATGTTTCACCAGATGATTGCGTCCTGAGGAATGGCCATGGTTGTGATTGTGGTTCGTGTTCTCATTCTGCTGTAGATCGGAGGTGCGATCGAGTGTGTTGGCATGGCTTGAGAACCCAGAAGAGATGTCACGGAAAGCATCCTCGGCAGAATAAGGACCAGCGCTTTGTTGTGCTAAAGCCATTTCCCTAGCCCGGTCGAGGGCATCTAGCCACTCCTGCGCCGATAGTGCAGTAGATCCGATGTTGCTTGAGGATGGTTTCGAATCTTCGAAGACGAAATGTTTGTCTCTCTGTGGAATTAAGTTAGAATTTGAGCTAATCGCACAATGATTGATTTTTGACATACCGTATCAACCACCCAAGAGGAATGCCCCTTGGCATCTGTTGTGCTTCTATAGTGCGTTCCGGCTGCGAGAAGTGGAATTTCAAGCTTTGATTTTTTCTCATCACCGCCAGAGGCAGCAAGGATGATGCGACCCGAAGAAGTGACCATGACCAATCGATTCCGCTTCTTAGTTGCTGTTCCTGAGAAAAATCGCGAGAATCTCCCGGGTGTCTCAACTTCACCACTACCGTTCTTTGATGTCGGACTGTGGGAAGCAGGAGAAGATATGACTACCATATTCCCCAATTTGAGAATGCGCTCATTGGATTTGCTGAGCACAGGAGACCATTCGATATCAAGTTGACTGGGTGGTGGTAATTCCGTGACCACACGAGGCAGCGCGCGAGAACTTTGGGTAGCATTAGACGGAGCAGTGGAGATGGCCGGGGGAAAGTTATCGCCGCCTTCAGCACCATTCAATTTGATGGGCTCTCGTGGTGGAGGGACGTATGCTTTAAGTCGCGGGGCTTTCTGTTTCCACAATTCCGAACCCCATGAAATGCCTTCAAAGAATTCGTGATTCTTGATATGCTCAATTTGCAAGCGCCGGGTGGGCTCAAGAACTAAAAGGCGCTCAACAAGATCCCGAGCCACGGCAGGGAATCCAATCGGAAATTCGTAATCCAAAGCCACGATCTTTTGAAAGGTTTGGTATTCGTTGCCTGCTTTGAAAGGCGGGCGACCCGCCAAAAGTTGGTAGATAATGCAGCCGAATGCCCACAAATCACTAGCCTTGCAAGCATTCTTTTCCGTCAACAACTCGGGACTGACATATTCCGCGGTGCCGACAAAAGAGCTCGCTCGTTCCTCTTCCGGGAGATCGGCCATATCAATCGGGATAGAGCTTGAGCTCTCATCCGGTCGTCGTGGAGGGGTTTTGAGAATCTTGGCCGTGCCGAAATCGGTGATTTTGACGTACATCTGGTGGTCGAGGAGGACATTTTCTGGCTTCAGATCTCGATGAATGACTCCCCGCTTGTGCATATAGTCTATTGTGTCGAGGATTTGGGCACCATAAAATCTGGTACACTCTTCGTCAAATGTGGTCATGCGCTTTAGGACGCCCAGAAGTTCTCCTCCTTTGCACAGGTCTAGAACAAAGTAAAGTGATCGCTCATCTTGGAAAGTGTAGTAGAGTCGCACGATGCCGGGGTGATCAGTAAGGCGGTTCAAGGTGTCCTTCTCGATATTGACGTATTTAACCTTCTTTTCCTTGATGATGTGTCGCTTATCCAGAATTTTGATCGCGTATTCCTTCAAAGTTTGTCGGTCTGTCGCGGATACCACTGTACTGTAGGAACCTTCTCCAAGAGTATTTCCAAATGAAAAGTCCCGGACTCCCTTCTTTACGAAACGCGCCACGGTCTTCCCGTTGGCATCGACCTCCTGCCTCACCGAGACGGCGGCTCCTCGATCCTGCCATTCCTCACTGCTGGCCGCTGGGCCATTCTCCATCGCATAGGGGGTGCGAGACATCTGTGGTGCCACTCCAGCTCTGGCGTGTGCTCGTGATGTCTGCCGCATCACTGCCGGCCCATTGGCCGGGATCTGAGTTGTGCGGTAGGAACGGTCGCTGTGAGAATTATCGCGCGTGGGAACACCGGCCAGGAGAGCTGAGTTTCCGCCGCGCGTATCTATCCGCGAGTGCTGTGTAGAGGTTGAGGAGGCACCCGAGTCGGTTCTCATACGATATGAGTTGTCGCGGGGCAGAACGGAGGTGGCCGAGCCGTTTGTGTACACGGAGGAAAGGGGCCGATTCGGATTTGGGGGCGTGGAGTGTGGTTGTGTCGAGTAGGGCTGGTACTGGGCGGAAGATGGTGGAGGGACGTCTGGAATGGGATTGATGACGGAAGTTCGGTTCTCATTTGGTATCGGCGCTTCGATGGGTGCGGCCGGGAAAGGTGTTGGGTGGTCGTCATTTGACAGGGGATTCTGTGGATGTGTTGATAACGACTCATCCGGACCCCCGGATGGACTGGATCGTATGTAACCATCGGGCGCATCGTCAGTACGCAGAGGCGAATCATCGGGGTTTGCGATCCGCAGCCCTCCCAGGGACTGGGACAGGCTGAGATCCCCGTTCATGGCGTTGGGCGACGAATGTGCGAGGGATGGTTGGTGGGGGGGAAGAGTTTCGGGAGGAAAGGGGAAAAGGAGAATGGCCGGGGAAGCTAGTGAGGCAGCACCAGAACCCGAGGCCAAAACGTGCAAATGTTGACGACTAAGGCGGCGATGAAGGGCGAATTAACATGGTCGGAGTGAGGAGTTGAGGAGTGAAGAATCGAGAGGGAGGGAGAGGAGAGACATAGACAGAGACAGAGAGGAGGGGGGGCAGAAAGGATCAACAGGAGGCTCCGTCTGACTAGTAGAAGAAAAGGTCTAGTGTCGAGGGGGCTGAGCCTGACAGATTTCGAGGGAATGTAGATATAAATAATATTAGTCTTAGTACTTAGTATACTAGTATGCTAGTGAGTATATTCTATATTCCGAAGATCATGTATATGCGATGGTATAGTTGTGGTAGCTATGATACCGTGACCTGTAGTAGAAGTAGAAGTAGTTCCCCATCTTGATATTACGAGTATCTTCAACTTCGTGACTTCCTCTCTTCCTCTCCCTCTCTCTTCATTTTCTCAGTTTCCATCTCAATTACTATCCTCCATGCTTTCCAACATGGGTCGCCCCCGTTCGTCCGACTGTCTCATATTCTTGCAGTAAACCTCCGTCATCGCGCCCTTCCTTCCCTTTCGTGCAACCATCACATCTCGTCATGGTCATGGCTTTCATGGCGAGGCGGCCACCCTCCCTCATTGTCTTGGGGGATGCCGAACTGCAACCATATCTCCAGCGCAAATTTCTACAGTCCCTGGTTTTCGAATTCAATCACCTACACCTGAATGATCTAGATGATCCGAACTACCGCGATGCCGACGGTAATGATGACGGTGTCAACCCTTCTACTAGCCCTCATGACGAGATCTTCACAACTTTCTACCCCTCAGCAGGAGTACCATCCGGTACTGGAACCGCCTCTTCTCAGGACGTTGCGGGTTCCCTCTTAACATTGACCCCAACCGCCTCGTTCCTTGCTTCTGGGATGACGGAGTCGGCCCACCAAGCTTCTGACCCAAACAACCCGTCCACCAGCTCTCCTACTACTTCTACTGCTACTGCTACTACCAATCAGAATTTGCCTTCTTTACAACCTCGCGGTCGACCTTCTTCGAGTCTCAATATTCGACTTCCACGGCGAGTGGCTTTTGTTGCGACTCCACGGAATCGTCCACGGACAACTGCTTCTCGGCGATGTAGACAGAAAGGTTGGTACCCTTCCAAAACAAAGTCGTCCTCGGTATCTGGGTTTCTTGTCATTGACCTTTGTTCCATTCAGAAAACCACCGGCATACTATGCAAACACTTCCAGACCCGAAATCATGGCTTTTCACCACGCCGAAGCCACGTCTATCCCTCGGGGCCATTCCGGATATGACCATGGGCAGTGTCCCACTACGGGACCTAGCTTTAGCGTCGACAATGTCTTACGAGGCAGTTCTGGCCGCGACAATGGTCTCGCCATCCGTGGCAGCGGATCCCATACAGGAATATGGCACTATTCAACCCGAGTCGGTATTTAATGAGCTTAGTGCGGATCGAGATGGCGAGTGAACTTGCCGTGGTGGCTAGATTGACCCATGTGGCCTGGCCTGTGATCGGAGCTGCTGAATACGCTAATAATTGTTCTATTTTTTCTGAAGTGTTTATCATCATTGTTCCGGCGTTGCGACACTTGGGGTGTTTTGTCTCTGTCTTTGTGGCCCCAGCCTGAGTGGGGAAATTTCCCAATTGTGATCCATGCAGCACAGGATGTATACATTCGATATTGTGATATGGACGGAAGTAGGTTCCAATTCTTACTACTGTCTACTTTCTCACTCCTTTTGTTCTCACTTTGTTACTAGTTTGTCTTATATTTTCTCTTATGCATACTCGTATATTCTCTTTTTAATTTCCGTTTCTCTCTACTCTAGAAACCCAGCACCGGTCAATAAGACGAGTCTGCCCAAGCCAACTACACTTCGTGGGCGGGGGAACAACCAGTTGAACCATTGGCCTCGGTCCAAAATTTGGCTGCCTTTGACTGACCCAGCAACTGACGCGTCTTTTGGCCATTCGCCCCTCCCCTCAAGAAGACCACATTTCCCGCTTTTGATGGTGTAAAAACATTCCACTACGAGTATGATACTAATAGTTGTGCCCTTGCTGGTGTCAAAATTGCCAACACATCCTGCCGCGTGGGCTCCGCCTTGCCACCCATCACACCCGACCTCATTGCCCGCGTCTCTTCCCAGGCTGCAGCCAAGCTTTCAACATGACATTTGTCGAAGCTAAATTTATTTGATAATTATAGATTCGGGATACTCGGGAATACTGACCTTATTAACCCCGCACTTCCCCGTAGTCACCGCTACTTTGCCTTTGCACAGTGGACTGCGGCGGGAAAAAAACCTGGCAGCGATATCCACTGTACGATAGTTGTGAGAGGCTCGATATAAAACTATGTGCAAATAGATTCCATTGTGAGCCCACATGTCTGAAGATAGGAAGCATACTAGTATGCAGTGTCTCTCGTAACCATAACCTGGCTGAGATCAAAATCCCCAGCGCTTGGGGCTGAGTGCCGGTGATACACAGCCTGGAACACTCTATGAATAGATCATGGATCCTCACTTTTTGTCTCTATCCATCGACCTCTCTTATAGTCAGAATTGTTCGCCGTCTCAGGTGGCATTCCAGGAAGCATGGCATATTTGGATGTTGTCTAGATCCTGGTGGATACAGCATCCCCTCCCGAGATCTAAATCAGGATACCAATGTCTCAGTGCATCCAGATTCGAAGTTCAAGCGGAAATCCGCGATTTTTCCCACCTACCTAGTATCGGTAGAAGTCACCTCTTAATGTCCGAATAATATCTCCATCAACGAGACACAATAGGCGCCAATATACTGGAGGCGATGGCTTGTTTCCTTCAAAAGCTCTAGCTCATTCTTCAGACACATTTTGTGATCTACAATATGAACACATCTCATGGAAGTAAAATCCTCAGAATGATCATCTTCGTCGCTTGCTTGATTGCTGAAACAAACTCGTCCAATTGACACGGACAACTTCCCTTATAATTAGCCTATTGTAAGGGTTGATTCTAGTCAGCGATCATAGACATCTGGCCAATCGCACTATTCAACAAGCTTAACCCCATTTTGTGTATGCTGCCTACCTTTCATAGCGTCCCTGAAACATGGCTAGCTGTCCTTATTGACCGTTTCAAGTTGTTTGATGATGTTTGAGGCTCCAAATCCATAAAATAAGCTTCTTCAGTACTCGACTAGAAAACAAAATCTTCCACAGTCAACCAACACCCATACTAAATTTAACATTATGAGCAACTTGAAGTAAAAAAAAAATTTTACGATCTTCCAACACCCTGACAATGCCCTTTAAGAGGTGTCTCACTAACAATCCCTTGTGAATTTGACGCAGAGGATAACAATCCAGCCCGAACCAATTCGGCCTGATCCTATGGGGATCATTAGCAACTTGAATTTTTTGTCTAAGAATAGACATTAGTCCCTGGTGAACCGAACAGATCCAGGAACCGATCATTGAAATCCAGGAACCAAACCAGCATAGTACGAGTACAGTCCAGCCCCGAGCCAAAAATTCCAAGAACAACCTAGATCAAGTTCCGATCCAAGAAACGCGCATACATAGTGTACAATATTCAAATGTTAGCAGAAAGATCTAGACCAAGGAAATTTCTTAAGCCACCCTGAGCCCATCCAGCAAAGAACACTCATATTGCAATTTCCTTTTCTCGCTTCGTGGCCCTTCGATGCTTGGTTCTCGGCTCCACCTAGAAACGCCACCCCAATAACCCAAATAGGGTCGACCCAGTGGACCCAAATTCGCGGCCGAGGTGGGCGCGGCCGCTGGTTTCTACTTTTTTGTGGCTGTTAATTTGCGGTAAACGATTCAGGGGTGTGGGACACGTAGACAGTGGCACATAAGAGCTATTTGGCGTTCTTCCTGCGCAAACTATGTACTAGTTCTACATGATAGATCTTGTGGCGTGTGGCGGGCGTTGACTGGAGTTGCCACATACTACGTACATACGAGTATGTATGCTGGCAGTTGATTTGATCTGCCTCATGCAGTGGGGTAGTCAACCTTGGAAGATCTTCGCGTGGCGATTTGAGGAGTAAGGGTTCTCGAGGATCTGCGAGCAAGGTGCACTGGGAAGTACTGTCAATTGACCAGCAGATGGGCATGAAAATTTGAAATACGATAAATCGCTCTATCGGGAGCTGAATACGAGATAATTGGGAGAAACAGGTCATTCCGAACGTCGATAGCCGACATTATTCCATTATTGAGATAGGCAAATCACCGAGTCAAGCAAGTCTAAAAAGTGTGTATCAAAAAGAAGGCCACAAGCAAAATCCGGCTCTAGGTGACAGAAAAGAAGGCGGAGATATGGGTGGAAGAAAGGTAGAATTGGGGGTTGAATCACATGAAACGCCAACAAAGATCGTTGTCTCCCAGATGCCGCTTCAAATGCTCCCTCTGCGTGTGTATATTTTTCCCCGTGATAGTGTGACTTCGTGCAATTGTACCAAAAGGACAGCCAGGAAAGGGTGTGAACAAAGTAAAAGAAAGGAAAACGTCAAAATCGAGCTATCTACTGCTGAGCCTTCTTGGCGGCGAAGACCTGAGCACCATCAACTAGACGACGCTCAGTGTTCTGGCGACCGTTGACGAAGTCAGGGTAGTTGAGGGTCAGCTCAACAGCACCGTTGACAATGTTGTCGACAGCCTCGACACCCAGCATGAAGGAGTGGTCCTGGTTGCCAACCTCGTAGCGCCAGCTACCGAAACGGCCACGGGACCAGATACCCTTCTCCTGCAGCTTGGGCAGGATCTGGGTGAGGGCACCCTCACGCTCCAGGCTGGGGGTGGGGTAGCCGTGGTCGAAGCGGCGGTGGTAAGTGGAGACAATCTCGTCACCGGCCTGCAGCATCTCGGTGTTGACGAGACCCTGGATGGAGTCCTGGAGGAGCTTCTCGTGGTTAACGGCCTTCATGGAAGACTCGGAAACCTCCAGCATGATGGACCAGTAGGGGCCCTCCTTGGCCTCGGAGGAGGCGGGCTTAGAGCCGTCAGCCAGCTGGAGAGTGGGCAGCTTCTTAGACTCCTCAGGCTGGTTGTAGGGGGAGTAGTTGGAGAAGATAGTGGCACGGTAGAAGGGGCAGTTATCCTCGGGGAAGTACAGCCAGCACTTGTCACCAATGCGGTCGGGGCGGGCACCACGGATACCGACACCGATAACGTGAGTGGAGGAGTAGAAGAGCTGCTTGGTGAGGGGCATCAGCTCCTTGTCATCCATGGCCTCGGCCAGGAAGTCAACGGCCATGGTGGAGACCAGCTTCTGGTAACCGATGACGGTGCCGTCGGCGAGAGTGACGGTCTTGTTGCCGGCGTTGACCTTGGAGACCTTGCCCTGCTCACCGAAGCGGGTGTTCTCCTTGGGGATGGTGTTGGCAACAGCAATCCAGATACCACCGGTACCGTCACGGGCAGGGAAACGGAAGGTAGCGTTGGGACCCCAGTTACCGGCAGTCTTGTTCAGGATGACATTGGTGGTCACGGCCTTCAGGTTGGGGGCAGCGACACGCTCACCGAGCCAAGCACATTGCATCTGAAAAGAGAGGAGCCATTAGAATTGACATTCGACCTGGCGGGGTGGAAGGGGGGAGGGGGTATGGGGTGTGTCTTACCTTGGTGGTGGGAACGGCCCAGACCTTGTAGTTGTAAGGGCGCATGAAAAGGTCGGCGATACCAGTACCCATCATGCGGACGATCCACTCGTCAAAGTTCTTGGGCTTGTTGTTGGCAACGCGAGCCTCAAGAGCAGCATCGATCATGCCGTCAATGCACTTGACCTGCTCCGCCTTGGGAAGCATGGAGATGTTGTTCTGGAAGGGGTAAGGGACCCATTCTTCCTGGCAACGAACGTAGGAGATACGCTCGTGGGTGAACCAGTCCTCATCCTTGGGGAGAGCCTCGTTGATGCAGTCGTCGAAGTACTTGTAGTGGGAGAAGATAACGTGGCCACCGACATCGTACAGCTATTCCCAAAAAAAGAAAAAGGGTCAGATTAGGGGTTCCGCGGGGTGTTTGTCAACAACAAAAAGATTCAGGTAACTTACGAAGCCCTCAGGGGTCACATCAGTGGAGGCAAGACCACCGGGAGTCTCGTTCGAGTCGATAATCAACCAAGAGGGGCCATTCTGTACAATTGGTTAGTTCTTGGGTGTTCTTGAGTGTCCTTGCGCTACCCCTCCATCAACCCCCCCTTATTTATTTTTTTCTGCCAGTGCAGTCCAGCCATCGGCCAGAGGGGAGGGGAAGGAGAGAAAGACTTACGATTTGGTTAAGACGCTTAGCGGCACCCAGACCAGTAGGGCCAGCGCCAATGACGAGGACGTCAACGGAACTGAAGAAGAAATAGAAGGTCAGCGGCGATGGCAATGGCAATGGCCAGGAAGCGGGAGTGTTTGTCCTTACATGTCGGGGTGGGTCATCCTGCCTTGAAGAAGGTCCTGAAAGC